TCCACACCACACCCAACAGACTAGGTTTCCACAAGCCGTTCATTGTTTATGTATTACACCAAGTACAATTACAGCATCTGGATTGCTTATCAGGGCTGACCAGACCAACATTTCAAATGAATAAAAACAATATTCAAAAGTCTTAATCAGTTCTGCATTTTCCACAAAGGAATTGCCAAGTTATATTCCAGACCAGCTCACCTCTCACCCTTCTCGAATGTGCTGAAACGGACCATGGTGCCTGTGTTATCTCCAATTCCCTGTTAAGTGGAAGCCTCGACACAAGGAGGCCGGGAGCCTTCTTGATGTCCTTGTGCAGCAAAGGGATTTAAGAAGCCTGGTATCTGCTGGCAGGGGAGAACTCCAATCTGCTTACCCACTGGCCCAGCTTTTCCAGGCCCATCTGCCACAGAGAAATAGCTCTAAAACCTGCCAAAAGTTGACGCTGAATGGGGTCTCAAGGTCAGAATAATTTGGAAAGACACTACCTAACGCAATCCCTCTGAAGAAAATCCACCACCTGTGCCTTTAAGTTTCCTTAGTCCCGTATATCCTGACTGACCGAGGAGCTATAGAGCCACTCCTTGAGCAACACACCTGTGAGTGCGTTCTTTGCAGCCCACACAGGAAGTACAGCCCTGAGCTTCAATTGCATCTCGCTCTTTGGCAGGCTTGGTGGTGGCTCCTTTGCCCACCCAGACTCTCCAATAAACTATTCAAATGGAAACTTCTGTTCTGAACATAAAATCCTTCACACGATAATCTACACAGCGCTCGTTTTTCTTTCTCAGCAGTGGCAGGGGCCAAACCTATCATTTGAAGTAATTCTATGCCCCAACGCTGATTATTAAGTCTGCAGTACTGACAAAGCTGATTCAACACCCACCATCTGGCGCTGTGAACCCTGCGGAAGAAAACTGTTTTTATTAAACGTCTCTGGTGTGAGATCCCTTTGCTTTATTGTCTAGACGCAAACAACACCGAGTGCCCGCAGCAGAGCATGCACAGAGGAGGGGCTCTCAGAGCCTGTGCACAGCTGTGGCCTGACTCTGCTCTTCACCTATGCAGCAGTCCTATGAGTGGCCACCTCCCAGAAAAGGAAACCGAGGCACAGAGAGAGATCCAGTAACTTGGCCAAAGTCGATAAGCATGAATTCGGAGAGTCAGAACTCAAACCAAAGGCTGTCTTTCACTTCGCTGGATCAAGATGTCCACAGAGAACCTAGACAGACGCTATTCCTGTGAGACAAAAAAAAAAAAAAAAAAAAAAAAAAACATT